AAAGAACATTCATTGCAGCAGCTGATAACTCCGGATATTCTTTTGCAACTGAAATCCAAATTCAGCCAAACTTCTTTTGCCAACAAATGCGATCATCAACCCGCGATCACTTGACAAGTCATCCAATCCTTCAACAAATCTGATGACAGATGTTGTATACTTGATACTATGATAAGTGATAATATCCAGTCTTGTTGCTGTGGGGTTGTGTTTTTGGGAAAATATTTATTAAACCACTGCGAAAGATCATGAAGATGACTGATTATGGACTGTTTCACAATGTTTTGACTGAACTCGTTTTCTTCGAGAAAATCGTTCAGCTCAAGAAAAATATCCATTCTCGACTCCATTTTAAAGTTTATCAAGAATGCCTTACAATAACAAATGTAACAGCACTCTAACTATTTAATTTAGAATGGACAAATCTCATTATTTGTTTTCATCAATCAATTCCACACGGCCATTGCTAATCTCGCAGTGCTACCAAACAACACAATTGTTCACGTAGTAGACTTTCGATCCTAGAAAAATTATTCCGCTTTATACTCTACCATTGCAAAAATATTGATACATTACTTATTACAAGAATGGTTTTGCGAGTTGGCGCCTATAAACCGGTTTATATGTTTCAAACTATCAACTTAATTCAATACATTCAACAACCTTTCATTTAAATGTGCCGTAGAGAAGTTTGGCTTAGTCTATCGCAGCTATTTCTGGATTAAGTTCCGATTACTGCATTGAAAATAAAACTCCGACAAAGCAAGATGATTGTTTAGTTATTTGATTAAGAGTTATATTCACCAAAACACAACTAAAAACTAACAAATATTACGCGAAATCCGCCAAAACGAGGTAATATTCACAACCACAAAGGCTTTCTGAATGGCAAAAGCATCTGAGCGCTTCTGAAACGTTTATTGTTACGACAAATTTTGCACTTTTGCTGATTGGCCAATGTCACGGCAGTAAATAATGAATTGTAAAATGGGGAAAACATCCATAATTGTAATCAGAGATTTATAAAGTTGTTATACATAAATACGCTACATTTACGCGATGCTCATTTTATTTATGGCAAATTTAAATTGTTTTGCGACCCAGAGCGGAGGGCTTCGCGACGGAAAATATGGGTTGATGAATAGAGATTTAGAAAAACTGGAAATTGGCTTCGAAGACGATATAAATGCAATTTTACTAAATCAACGAGAACTTAAAAAAGAACTTGTCGGAACTATTTCTAATATAATATATAGATCTATTTATACTGATTATATTAACTACATAATATATGCAAAATATCTTGACGAAAACGTCGAAGGAAACTCTAGAGGTGTTTGGGTAGGTATGCACAATCGACATCCGACCGCAGAAGATTTGTTGCGAGTCTTCAACAAAATGATCGAAATAGGAAATGGATGGAGAGCTGTAAAGTTGTATTTTTCCAAATGTGAATATGTAGATAACTTTACTGAAGAAGAAATTGGTGTCTAATATTACACTATCAAATATATTCATAATCTGGAGTGTTAAAATATATTCAAATCATGCATTTATCGTTCATTCTTTGGTGTAGTTTAAATCTTAAAATATGTATATATTAGTATGCTATGTATTTCCAATTAAATGTAACAAATGAGTATACGTTGAGCCCAGATATTAGCTCAAATTCGGCTTTGAGTTTGTATGAAAGTAACACAGGTAATCATTAGCCGCATTCGCATGTTGGGAGTTGCAGGAGTCGGAGTCGAAATTGAAGATTATCCGGAGTCATTTTGCTATCAATATCTATCACACGCTAGGGTTCCACTAACAATTGAAGACATTTAGTGAAGATGTGGTTTCTAGTCTGTTTGACATAAACATATCAGAAGAACTTTATTTGAGCACCAAATGATTTTCCAGTCACATACCATTGTTCAGATCTACGTCCGAAAATATAAGAATTACACACCAAAATTCACTATCGATTTCATCTCTGTATTACTTTATTTGATACTCCAAACTTGGACGTTGCCTACAAGATCATGACAAAAATTATATCAACACGCCTTAAAAACGTGCTGAATGGTGTTATCACAAGGACCCAAAAATCTCTTAAACATTTTGGAAACGGTGGGTGTGCACGATAAAACAACTACCTGATCAAAGGCATGTATATCAACATTGTTAGCATAGTGGATGTAATTGGCGCATTTACGGAGCATTCAAATCTTGCGTGGAATTAGGCAGGGCTGCCCCTCAGCATGCTCCTCTATACGTTGAACGCAGAACCACTTGCAAGACTTGTTCTTGCAAATGAACGTATAGAAGGTGTTAGGCTGGGTAAGATGGAGGAGAAATTGGAGCAATACGCTGAGGATGCAACGTTTATAATTCGTTCCCCATTCTCAATAGAGCACATTTTTAAAGACCTGGATAGATACTCAAAAGCTACGGGACAGAAAGTGAATTCGGAAAAAACAGAGATTTTATGTACCACAAAATCAGCCGAAACCCTGTTGCAGTCAATACCATATAGAAGATTTGGAAAAAAAATAAATAAAAATACTTGGAGTCTACTTTGGCCGCGAGTCTACCAAATTACCACGGACAGAAAAATGCACTAAAGGTAGGCAAATCCTCAATCGAACCAAACTGTGAATGCTAACCTGGAGAGGCAGAATCACAGTATTAAATTCTGCTGCACTTCCCCTGATAATCTACAGCGCTAGAGTACACAGTGTCCCAATGTCACCAACTGCAATCGGAATTTTTCAAATACCTATGGTATCCCGAAACCATTGAGGTGATATTTAGGAAAACTTTACTACAACATCTCTCAAACGGGGACATCAATATGCTCGACGTCAAGTTGAAAGCACAATTTGGCCTGATACATAAAATCAATCAGCTATGTTCGCTAATTTCTTCGACTGAATTCTGGCACCATGAGGCTCTTTTTTCTCTGGGATCCAAAATAATTCCACTAACCAATCTCTGTACACCAATTCGATGACCCCCTCAATAGAAGTCAACCTTCACTGGCAGCATATAATTGTTCTTGTTCATGTATCAGATTTCACGCCGGATGAATAGACTACTACAACTTTAAAGTCCATATATGATAGATTCAAATTAAAAACGTAGGACCCAACAATAAAATTACATCTAACACGTGATTGGCACTCCATACATCTCTTGGACCGCACACTAAAAAAACATTCCACGGATATCGAACGTCAATGTGCTTACCTCGTAGCCGCGGATGGCTTTTGGTTCGGCCAGAGAAAGTGGCGATATGGAATTGTTCGTCGGGATGTAAATAATCATCAAATGAAGCTGAATTGTAAACTATGTGCAAACCAGGAAGACACAACAAAACACGTATTCCTTGAATACCCAAAATACCTGGAAATACACAAAGAAATTAAGCTTACTCTGGAAAAAACCTGCGGAAAAAAACTAACCGTTTCCCCACAATCAATCTTCGACAACTCCTACGCAGGCGAAAACAATTTGGCAATTCTAAAAATGTACAGTATTCTTAAATTGGAAACCATCACACTCAAATATAACTTGGATAGAGAAAACAGATATGAGAGCCAGAACGATATATCTTCAACACTTCAACACCGAAACTGTCTACCGGAAATTCAAAAACTGGATCTATGGAGTCAAACATCAACATGATTTGACAGATATGTACGATCTATCCAGAGAGTGGGAAGAGGCGCTAACGGATGACATAGAGGCTGTGTGACATTATAAGATCGAAATGCAGGGTGCGTAACAAGATAGTTCTCATCAGTCACCACAAATGGTAGGTGAATATCAACATAGTACTGTCTAAGAAATTTTTGCCTGGCCGATGCAAATCGCTTTATGGTCATCGAATGGTTTCTATAACTTTTAATGTACCATTCAAATTTGCCAGTCAAACTTCGATACAATGTAACTTCGCTACTATGCCACCCTCGCTACCACCCTCACCCATGTTTGATCGTCATTAACTAAATTCAATATAAAATATATTTATTATGCCACCCCCTACCCTCGCTAATATGCCACATTGAGGTACAGTATTGCTGTTTTAAGGAAACAACAAACGCTACGAACGAAACGATTAAAAGGCTGTGAAACGGCAAAAGTATATGTATGTGCTTGTAATGTGTTCTCTCAAGTTATCTACTGTAGCTCAGCACAAAACTCTGAGGAACCGTCAGCTGACACATGTTCTTTCTGCGGATTTCATGCACCTTGTCGTCTAGCTAGCCGATTAGGGTTTTGTTTTTTATCAATTCTAAAAAAATATCGTGTTTTAAAACAAGGGCTTGTTTTAAATCAAATTTTTTCGGTATTTTTTATTGAAATACCCCTTTCATCGCCGCGAAACTACGCCAAAACGTTGCATTCTGGCAGCTGCACACGCAGCTGAAATTATAATTTCAAAAATGTAAGTAAAATTTTTTATTTTGACTTTTACTTCTATTGCGTACATTTATCGCCAAGTTTGTATCTCCACCACAGTCATAATATTTACCCGGAATGTTTAGCCGAGATATCAGAAAGACGTTTCGAGTAAGAAAAATAATGAAAATTAGCTCACGAGCCTACTACAAAAGCAATTAGATCAAGTGCAGCCCTTCGGCAAAATGAGTGGGTTGCGCTAATGAAGAATATGCTTATACCGGCGGTAATCTACTGATAGAAACGATGAGACACCCTAACCTAGCCTGTGGTAATTGTAAGCGTCCTCTGATGCGAAGACGCCACAACTAATCTGTTATGACGCCATAATATGCATTTCGAGTTCAAGTTTTTTCAAGGTTCTACAATCTCATTTATTCGATCGCATTTCAATTTTCGCAAGGTTGTTTAATCGCAGCAAGGTCGTTCACGTAATGGCTTATCGGTTGCGTTTCACTGCGTCAACCCCTGAACTACAGCTTGAAAAGGCGTACATGAGCCTCTATCGATATTTGGCGCGTTTTGATAAGTTTATTGCAAATAAAAAGCGCTTGGCAACTTTTTACATCCATTATTCTTCAATCTATCCAATACAAAAAAATCAAATCGTACAGCAATTTTGAACAAAACATGCAAAAAAAACTTGATTTAAAACAATTGTTTTAAAACAATTGTATTTGAACAAATCCCTATAGCCGATCGCATGCTTGCATCACACCGGGCTTCCCGCTTCCCTGCTGCATGAACTTCCGGACAGTGTTTCATGCCCGCTGGGCTTCCTCGAACGAAAAGATTTCCTCCTCAACACTTATCTCATCATCTTCGCGTTTAAGCGGCTCCTCGCTGCGCAACATCTCCTCCGCAATCTCATCCAGTGTGAAAAACCCACCAGTCTCGCTGCGCAACATCTCCTCCGCAATCTCATCCAGTGTGAAAAACCCACCAGCTCGTTCTCTTGCATTTTTTCCTCGGAAGACAGCGCTTCCCAGATCTCAAGCGAATGAAAATCATAAAGCTCAAATTGGATTTCCTCTTCGATAAACTTGGTCATCACGAAGCAGTTTCTGATCGTCGACTCGCTGACCTGCTCCCAAGCACGGCAAACGGTATGCAGCGTCGAGCAATGTGAACTCGAACTCCTTTCCCATGTCCATGGCCTCGAGGTCGGCGACGCAGCAGGATCTTCTTGTAGTGGCGCTTGAGGTCCTCTATGATTCCCTGATCAATTGGTTGAGAATTTGCTTTCGTGTTGGGTGGGAAGAAGACCAGTTTAATGTTTTCCAGCTGGATCTCTGGATGGCCAGAAAAGGTATCAAGGCAGAGCAGCATGCTGCGACCCTGCTGGCCAAGTCGTCTGTTCCACTCACGTAACACCTCTTCGAAAAGCTTCGCCGTCATCCATGCTTTCGAGTTTGTCTTGTACTTAACGAGAATTTCCTTTTTTCTTGAAGGCACGAGGTTTCTGGGAACTGCCGATCGCCAGAAGAGGAACTTTTCACTGCCGCTCATATTTGCCCCCACCAGAAGAGTGATCCTTTGCTTGCGAATCCACCGCTCCAGCTTCGCCCTGCACTGTTTGAAACGTGATTCCGTGGCGCTTTTTAAAATTGTCCAGCCAAGGGTTGCTCTCCATGAAGTTTGTAATGTGCATCAGTTCGGCCAGTTTTAAAGACTTCTCCTTTATCAGATCGCCGCCGACAGACATATTTTGTCCTCTTGCTTGTTTTAGCCACATGAGCATCCCGTCATCAAGCTTTGAGTGGTGAGACGGCTTCAGCTTCATGCGTTTTGATGGAACTCCAGCTTGGATAGGTGTCTCGATTGCATCCTTCTTGCCGAAGATTCCACTCACTGTGGTTCTCTTAACTTCGATGACCCATTTCTTGCTCATTTCCTTGCCCAGCTTGGACTGATTCGTTTTTTTTTGCGGCATCAATGATCTCCTTCCTCTCCTTCAACGTAAAGTCGGTTTGCTTGCGCTTTTGAATTGACATTGTGGGCCAATTTCTGAATCTGAAACAAACTTAAGAATTCGAAACTACTGCACTTTAATGTACTTTATACTGTAAGTGTAATACATGTAAATCATAATCGTACAACACAACGTAGCATTAAATTGTCACGTCACAAGGCTGTTTTTACAAACCCTTGTTACCATGTCATCCTCGCTACTATGCAACTTTCTCTCGGTCCCAAAGGGTTGCATATTATCGAAGTTTGACTATACCCATTTCGGAATTTTGCGGTTTTTAAAAAAATAAGAAATACCATTCTAAATGGCGGATATGATGTGAGGGAACTTACCATACCAAGACTCAGACGGAAAATCAATACCATTAACTTCTTTATAATGTCTTATTATTGGTTTAACATGTATTTTCAGTCATACATATCATCTCTGGCGTTGTGGTGTTTTGATAAATATGATTTCGACTGCACCATACTTGGCAGAGGTATCCAGAAGCGTGAAAAAAACGCGCATTTCCGTCGAAAAAAGTAACATTTTTGCATTGGAGGGAGGGGGCGAGGAGGGGATCTGTGCAGTAATAATTAGAGCTGTGACGTCATCAAAATTGTCAAAATTCTGTAAATGCAATAATAGTCGTTTTGGTATTGTTCTGTTGGGAAAACTTTAAAAATACGTTTAAATAAAAATTAAATAATAAGGAATTAATCATTAATCCTCTAGTCTACTGTACACAGAATCTCTCAAGGTCAATTTTTTTATTAGAAATTTTGTTGCATAAAAAGAATATTATTAAAGGAGTGTAAAGTGTGTTTTAAAAATATATTGCTGAATAGAACTCAAGCACACGCTTTTAAAAAGCCATGAATGAAGCTTTAGGGCTGAATGGTTGACAAAAAAAATATAATTTTAAAAATACCTATGCAAAATGGGTAGGGGCAGGGACGGCAAGTGGGTTTTAATCGCCGAAAGAATTCGTTTATGATATATTCCTCATCGGCTGGATCATACGAATTCTATAAAATAACGTCATTAGCATCTTCAAGATGGTTGAATAACACTAACAGCTTTATATAATTTTGGAAATTATTGAAAACGAATTTGATGGGACAAGTTCAAAAGGTTTTAAACGCCAACAATATTTCTTTCCTGAACATTTTTGGTGCATACAATTACAACGTAGATTAAGCAGCATTCGCCATTTTCTAGAAAAGGCTCGAATACAATACAATACAGACTGGAGTTTTTAACTGTTTTACTGACCCATTGCATGTAATAGATCATAGATTCTCAAAGTGCTCCGTACGGAGCCTCAGGTCTCCGCGAGAGAAACCCAGGGGCTCCGCGAGCTATTCGATTACTTTTCAAAATAATGACTAGTTTTGTAACTGTACAAAGAAGCAATAACAGCTTTGATAAAATTTGACAACAATATAGCCTCGATATATGGCGAAGAGGCGGAATTAAAAAATGACATTATTTATAAGCTGGAGCGCAGCCAGGATTCTCAAGAGGTGGGGATTTGAATCGGAAATTTCCGCTCAACATTCTTTGCGATTATAAAAAACGGATAACGAGATTTCTGTGGCGTAAAATATTCAATGTATGGCCGATGCGAGCATTTAAAGTGTCTTGTCGTAATAATTCAATTGTACTCATAGTTACTCAAGTTTCATTCGAGATTACTATTAGGATTACTAAAATGAAAGAATACTATTCTAAAATAACTGAAAATACGTGATAAACTGCCAACTATAAATAAATTGGAGTCGTATTTTTGCGATCTTGGAATTTGTCAAACTTGATTTGTTCTTTTGCACTCGAGATTATTATTAAGCAAGATATCGCCGTTTAAAAAATCACAAGATCTGGGCAAAATACGATTGAAATTTATTTTAATGCATGCGGCTTCATCGGTAGTTTCAGAATAAAAAAAAGGTAAATCGCGCACACTGTTGACTTTGTTTCAATTTCGCAGTTACTATACAATGAATAATCAAAGAAAACCTAACAATACACCAAATTTTGTGATTTACAATGCCTATAAAGCGTTTTTAATCTGACGTGAGTCTGCTAAAACCAAACTTATAGTGTGATCTTTTATTTTAAGTTTTAATATTTTAGAATGCCGTTTTTCAATCAAAAATTTTAGTTGCGGATTTACCTCTTTATTATTAATTATTATTTCTAGCATTTCGTCGCCGATGACTATATGGTAACATGTTTTTCACATTGAACTCATAATACCCCACGAGAACAAA